TCCACTCCAGCGCACATGGGAGCTCTCTCAGGGTCCAAGATCTTGGGCAGGCAGAGAACCAGGACAGTGGAGCCAGCTGCTGCCAAATTTCCTGCCAGGAAGCATCTGCCACGGGATTCTTCATTCCTTTATTTGCTCACTGAATATTAACTAAGCACTCCCTCTCCCTGCTTACCCTCATCCTATGGGCTCCAGAAATAATGAACTTCTTCCTGAGGGGCAGGGTAGGGTTCACACGACCTGTAGATAGCACTTACCTCATAAACTGTTAACCTTCTCTTCCTTCCTTCCCTGACAACATCCTCCTACATATGACTAATGCTCATTTATCTGCAACTGTCCATTTCACATCACTTCTTCCAAGAAACCATCACTGGGTCTCCGGGTGCTAGCATGCCCTGTCCCTATGTCTTCCCTCCACCTCCCACCAAGCCCACAGTGGCCACATTGCATTGTGATCCCTGACTCTTAGTATCCTTCCCTCAGGGCAGCCCCAGCACTTAACACTGAGCACTCAATAATATTTGTTGAATGAAGCAAGCAGAACAAAGAAACAAAAAGAATTAAAACTGTAGAGAAGACACTAATGGGAAAAACTAGGAACAAAGCCAGAAAAGAAAAGTTTGGCACAGACTCAAAAAATAAGATGAAAATCTCCATCCCTTTCAAAAACAGATAAATAAACAAAAAGTAGAGGAAGTAAGTGGGTATATTTTAGAGAATCCAAAGTTCCACACAAAAGACCATATTATTAAAATGCTGGCAGGCTCATGTAATGTAAGAAACTGATGTAAAATTGCTGGGACCCATTAAATATTTTATGGTTTTATTGGTGTACTTTTGATTAAATAACCTTTAGAATGAAAATGTGTAGGGATTAGGTAAGGAAGCAGATGAAGCCACAATATTTTCACCAAAACAAGGAATCCCAGGGATCTTTTGCATTACAAAAGCTTCTTATGTAATTTGAAACCAGACTGGACATAATTAGTAGTACAGAACAAATGAACAGTGAAAGAAAATACCATCCTCATACTTTTAATGCGGAATCCATTACTTTCAAAAGCAAATCCATGGCAGGCAAAGCACTAGAGAAACAGTTCTAAAGAAAATGCTGCAAATTAAAACCAGGGCACCAGGAAGCTCTGAGATGAGCCAGCAAAAGATGCTCTTCTCTATTCCACTCTGCACAAACATGGGCTGTGGGAGGCATTTTAAATTGACTTCACAATACCAACCCCGTTACTATTGTGTCCATGTAATGCATGGCTTACGCTTCTGTAAAATCATTTTCCAAGTCTCAGCATTGAACAAAATTAGCACCCTCATTTTTATGATAATATTGTTCATTTAATGCATGACTTGGAGTTAGACTTCAAAGAAAATCAGAAAAATATGCCTTTTCTCTTGTTAGAGACATCTCTCTTCATGCACCAGTGGTTTGACCTTAAATTTTAACTCTGACTGCATAAAACCACTCTCATATTTCACCTATTCTTCCATAATTCAATCAGTTAGCTCATTAATTTTTGATAGATGTAGCAATACCCTGCCCATCAAAACTAAACCAATTTTTAATATTATCCTTTTATATTTATTCTCTGGAAAGATCGGGATCAGAAGACTTTTGGTATAATATATGATGCACGTCACAATGAACTTAATAAAACATGTAAAACTGACAAAAGTAGCCACGCGAAGTCTTTTCCAACTATTTAAAGCCCCCTCCTATTCTCCATTATGATAATGAAAATGACAAATTAGATCTATACAAACAAAAACTTACAGTGCATAGTGGCTCCCAATATTGAAAATAAAGATTATATTTTTTATGTCTTTCTAAAAGTTTGGAATATCTCCTGAGCTATCTACCCAGCAAGCAAGAGGAAGCTGGCAGTGCAATGAGGAAGGGAGTGGTGGCATTCTCTCCCCTAAAGAGATGCACAGGAACAACACACTTAAACCAATTTTCAAGGCATTATGGGTAGAGATGTTAACATCCCATCCCCTAGCACTTGTAATAACCTGCTCTTAGATGGTCAGCTGGATCTATGAGTGAGCACTTCAAATAGACAGAAAACACACACTGTAATACTAGAGCCAATATGCATGATGGAAATAACAGGAAGTGATAGAGGAAAACGATAGTTCAACAAGGCAAAACTCATGAGACACACCAAGAGTCAGAAGACATAGTTCAAGGGAGTGTAAATGAAAACTGAAGCATAAAGCTACAATTATTTAGGGCCTTGCTTGGTGGACATTCTAGGAGGATTTACATGCATCTATCCTTTGGTGCAGTAACTTCACTTTCTAGAGTTTACTCATTAAAAAAGTACACTCAACCTTGCAAAAACATATGCATGTCCTTTGGTGCATTTTGCTCAGGGATAAGTCCATTTGTTGATGTGTTCTCAAGTAGAAAGCAGATTTGCATCTACATAATGACCATGCAATGAGGGACTGACTAAACATTTGATGTCACCTATGTGTGGTGAGATGCTCTGCTATTCAAATACATTTAACTGCAATAAAAAATAGAACTAAGTTCCTGAATATTTTGTATACAGTGACTGGAATTCGCATAAAATTTGTGGGGCCTTATGGTTACAGAAAAAGGAGGAAGAATATCTGCCAAAATGAGAGGTAATGAAAACATCTCTGACTTGTTTAAAATTTTAACATATGTTGCCTACATTATAAAAGTAAAATCATCATGAAAAGTTACTGTTAATTAATGGTTCCTTTATAACCCTGGCCTTCTAATATAAATTCACTAATAAATCTGGTCTATTCCCTTCCACATTAGGAGAACAAAGTTCATGATTCTACAAATAAAAGCTTCAAATAAAAAGTTCAGAGTTTCTTGGAAATTGTCACAATAATTCTGTAAATAATTTGAAGCTGATCACTTATGTTGAAAACTAACAGATGCAGGGTAAGGGGCTAATGAGACCTCCAATGGGTTTCTTTCTATAAGGAGACAATTTGGGAAAGAGAAAAATACTTATTTTTACTGAACTGCTCCATAATAACTAACATGTCTACTTTTAATTATCTTAATCACCCTCTCTTCATTATTGAGCTGACAATGTTTATATATCTTAATGGACTTACGTAGATTATTTCAATCGATTGGTTTTGTTAACTCAACAATGAATTCTGACTGATAAAGGATGCACGATGTAATTAGTCAGCTCTTCTTTTTACGTGAATTTCTAATACTTCTGTAATGAGTAATTAAAGATTAATAAGGAAGATAGTCTTAGATTAGCAGCTTCTTATCTATGAATGCCTTAGGATCAGAACACATTTGCACAGTCAGACGGTGGCTGGTAAGTTGAGAAACTTCTGGTTAGAAAACTTAATGTTTGCTGGGCACCGGTGGCTCACGTCTGTAACCCTAGCTACTCAGAAGGCTGAGATCTGAGGATCACAGTTCAAAGCCAGCCAGGGCAGGAAAATCCATGAGACTCTTTTCTCCAATAAACCACCAGACGTGGTGCTGTGGCTCAAGTGGTAGAGCGCTAGCCTTGAGCTGAAGAGCTGAGGGACAGCGCCCAGGCCCAGAGTTCAGGCGCCACAACCAAAAAAAAAAAAAAAGGTGAGATAAGCTACAGAGGAGCCTAGCTTCACTAAGTGGGTGTTCTACCAAAGGGAGGTGCTATGATTCAGCTCGCCTGCTGTTTATCAGGCACTGTCCTATGGGGTCTGTGTACTCTAGGGATATAATGCTCCCTCTCTTTTCCCTCTCTTCTTTAGGGCTATATCAAACAGGAAGCTGTAAATCCTGTTGCCTGTTGTGTCCTTTTATCTGAGTTTCATCAGAAGCTGTAGTCAGGACATTCAAGTGATCTCTCTGCCACCTTAATGTCACTTAAACGTCATAACGTAGGGCTCCATAGGACATGCTCTGCTCATGGTCTAGGAAGTCATGCAGATTGCAGCAACAATACTGTCATGCCTGTGTATCTTATGCACCAACCTGACACCTGCACATCAGTTCAGAATCTCTGCAGCAACCTGGAGGGCAATGTGAGTGCTTCAGAGCACAAGGGGCAATTGTACAGACCAAAGTGATGCCCCAAGACTTGGCTCAGTATGCAGCAGAGCATGATTCCAAATGCAATACTGGCTCCAAAGCCCAACCTGTGCCTCTATTGCCTATTGCTCCTATATCATGTGCAGAACAGCCAGGTGACAACAAACCACAAGGATCCACCACCCATGAACGCCCAGCTTAGTACTCCAGAAAGAGAATCAGGCTTCTTGGGACCACAGTCTTTGGGAAGAGAGTGGAAGGGACATAAGAGACATAATGACAATTTCACCAAGGACTAGAGAGAAGAAAAAGACCTAGGAATGGAAATTTGAACAAGCGCTCCTTTGCAAATCATGTGTTATTGCCTGGCTTCTACTTGGTCTCTGGATCTCCCCCTTCTAGTCCTGGGAGTTTGGACAAATTATTATCATTTTATCTCGGCATCTCCATTTGAGAATATGCCAAAGCCAGCCTGTACCTGCTGGAGGGAAGATGATAAAAATATGAAGAGTAAGACACATAGCATAGCAGCCATTTAGTAAATGCCATCTTATTGTGGGAAGGAGCTGTCAGCTGCTCTCCTCCTCTCAGTCATGCTGATAAATCATCCTGATTATGGTCATTGTATCAAGCTAAAAAGGTCATTTCCACATTACACACAAGAGATTCTATAGCTTAAGAAAGAGCTTTCTAGGTCTAGTTACCACAGTCCTGAAATTACTAGCTCCAAGGACCATCAAAACTGATGCTGTTTTTTTCCAGAAGAAAGGGGCTGCATCTGAGTGGGGAGAAGAAATATGCCCAGCTTCATTTCCAGTCTCTGGACCAAGCCCCTTCACTGTTCCAGATTCAGTGAATAAACATGGCCGCATCCTCTGACCTCTAGACACTGTATATGCATAACAGTAACAATGGAAATGACCCAAAGTGCAAAGAAAGCACAAAATGGTGTACTCACCGCAATTATGTTAAAGAAGTCATCATCCCCCAGAGTATCCAAAATAGAGGAGACTGTTTGCTTTGCAATAGTCAGACGGAGTCCTTTCATGCTACCACTGACATCAACTAAAATGACCACGTCTTTTGGAGATGTCGCTGCCTGGATGTACCTAGGTCAGGAAAAAAATAAGTAAAAATGAATCCTGGCCCATCTTCAAGTTTTAATAACTAAGAGGAACTAAAGATGTAGCTCAGTAGTAAAATGCTAGCCTGGAATGTGCAAGAGCCTGTATTCCATTGGGTGTACCACAAGTAAACAAAAATAACAACAACAAATAAATAACTGAGATCTAACTGCTGCCTACCATTTTCGGTTCCTGCAGTCAAAGGCAATGACTCCATTCTCATCTGGTTCCCATTTAATCCCTAGAAAAGAAATGGGGTTAGATGAAACCCAGAAACTTCAAATATTTATTTGTAACATTTCAGGCTGCTCTGCTTTGCTGACGGAATGGACAGGGTGAAAAATCACACGCAAAGACCAACCGTGGAGCTCCTCACATGCCCATGACCAGCTCTGGAAAGACACCTTCAAGGATGTAGTGCTATAGTAAACACAGCCTTCATCTAGTTCCTCCACACAGCTGCTGTAATGTGGATGCAACTTTAGTACCATGCTGTTCTGCAAGAGAGGATGCAACTCCAGGCCCTGCCATTAGCTAATGAACCAGACGGCCGAGGCCATTTCTCATTGTCTAGCAAGTTGTTGGAAGTTGCTGGCATCATTCACAGGTCTCTAGGCAGAGTCCTCCCCTTATCCCTGGGCCTAGGTGAGGTAATGCCTATAGCATGAAGCAGGGGAGGCATAGAGAGGAACACATCTAGGGGAATGATATGATAAAATGTTTCCAACTCAGAAAATACATAGGGTTGTTCCCTCTCTGTTCCTGTTTTTAAAATCAGAATTTGGCCTCCCTTTCTACACTGAAATGAAATAAAATGGCCCTAATTATGCTGCAAAATGGAGCTTGCATTTCAGGCCTGGGGCCTAAAGAGTTTCTTTGGGTGAAAAAGCAGACCCAGCATCCTTAGTCCTATGGTTTACAAACTGGTCAGGATATATCCATGGGTGCCATTCTCCATGTACAACTTATTTGCAAAGGATAAAAGTTCACTTAAAAAGGTGGCATTTGCTTCTTAAAATGAAATAGTAAATAATTGTTTTCAGCCATCGGTGCTGCACAAAGGTAGAGGATTTGAAATATAAACTTTGGAGGTAAGGAAAGACAAACAGAAATGTTATGTTCACAGGAGGAAATTCCAGAATGTGTGACACTGAGCATCTCCTTTCCAGTCAACAATGGTCACATTTCTAGACCACACTGAATAATAACATAAAAGAGCTTAAGAGACCCTTTTCATTGTACTACATCCTACAGCAGTACTTCAGTCCTTGTGTTCAATCCTTGTTCTTCATTTCCCACCTGCACATGAGCCTACTTTAAAGAGTTTTGCTGAAGATGTTAGAAGGCAGAAATATAAGGTAGTACCAGTTGAAGGACATAAGTCTTCATATGAAGACAAGCACAGTTAGGATGGGGTCAGTCAGGGAATGTTCTGATTTCAAATTCCATGAAGAAGTGATTTCCCTTAGTTAAATGTATTGATGTATGGTAAGGGCTAGTGGCTGTTCCCTGAGTTGATTGTGTGGGTGTTCGTAGGGCATATTCATGCCTATATGTACTACCCACTATCTACCACTGAACTCTGTCCCTGTCATCATTCCTTGACTCCCAGCCTAGCTTCTGTGTGTTCTCTGCCTCAACACTGAGGCCCATATAGGGCCTAGGAAGTAGAAAATTAAGGGCACTAGCTAACTTTATTTGCATCTGAGCTTAGAAGAATTTTTCCCCAGGTACTGCTGAAAACTGGTGCTTTTGTAAAAGTTGGACTAATTTAATCTGCTGGGAAAATTAATAAGGGAAATAATTCGAGCACAAATGTGAATCAAATGGTGTGGCTCTGAGTCCAAGTCTGCTTGCCACCAATTTTCACCAAACTGGCAAGCACTGTGCTAGTCAGCATATACACAGCAGCGACTGAGAAGACCGGCTGTGGAAGAAGCCATACACATCCAGCAGAAAATAGATAGTAGATAAGAAATCACAAGTATTAGAGAAACCATAGGACAGAAACACCTGATGTTAAAATCAGTGTATGAAAGGTGAGCATGCTCCCTCATGGGAGAAAAGAATCTCTGAGAGAGGAATGATGGTGCATTACTTTGTTAGAACTGCTGTTAACAAGGTGCGCCAAGCTTGGTCACTTAACAGAAGTGTTTTCTCTCACAGTTCTGGATCGAAAGGAATATCCAAGGCAGAGAAACTAATGTGTGCAAAGGACCCGAGGCTGAGTAGAACATGAGAAGTTTTCAAGGAAAAGCAGAAATGCTGGCATACCTGTGTATAGGAAAGGTCTGCGCCAGAGGAGAAGCACATGGGCCACAGCAAAAACCGTGAAGCAAAGCCACATGAGGTTTGCATTAAGTGTGGATAAAGGCAGTACCTGGAGGCAGTTCCAGACACACAGCACTGAATGTAGCAATAAACATCATGCTATAACTCAAAGTCAGGGCCAGATATGCCTTTGGGTGTCATTTTGTCTAAACTCAACATTTGGGTCAAAATCTTCAGAGTTTCCTGAGGTTACTGCTAAGACCTGTTCCTCCTGTCACCATGCCATTCCTGACACAGACATTTCTTTCATCTGTGTTCCTTAAGATGGTCTATAGGATACTGTATTAAAGCAAATAAAGCAAAACTTGTCTCAACATCATGGGAAGAACTTCTGAGGGCCTTTCCTCCTGCCTAAGTACACTGTGGATCTCTCTGATAGGGACATTAAAGTCAAGATACACATACAACATAGCCACCATTGTACAAAATTCTTTTGGACAGTACAATGATTGCCACATGACTGTGACATAGATGAGCTTGTTGAACCTGCGTATGGCTCTGTGTAGGCATCATCAGCATGGGTGTATTTCTAGGCTAATGCTCCCTGGAATTAAGGAACTGTTTTGTCCCAATCACAACCAGTACATTACTCCAAGCAGGGCCACAATGGTTTCAGCTGGCTGAGTTTACCTACTACCCAGTGACCCTGGCTTTAGTGGTGGGTACATGGCCTACTTGGCCTGATGGCCAAGCCAAACCATTGGAGCACATGCTTTCTCTTCCTCTGGAGGGCCACAATGAGACATTCCAAAAGCCTGAAGTCAAAGTTCCCATCATGAAGGGATCACTTGCCAGTGAAACAAGGTCAGGATCATGGACAGAAAATATCCAAATCCAAAAGGTCTTAATGAGTACTGAAATTTAACAGTGATGTAAAAAGCACATAAGATTTTAAGTTATAGGAGCCAATAATATGTTTCTTGATGGAGCTAGATGTAAGTAGGTTCCTGTTACTTGTAACTTCAAACTCTGATACACGTTTCCCACAAGAAGCTTACAAAGAACAGGACTTGGACATCATGATTCCATTCACAGGCCCTTACATGGTATTGGAACCAAGCCAGAACTTAGGACATACTCACACAAGAGGGACAAGAGATCCATTTTGTTAGGGTCAGGCACACCTGACACTCATACTGTTGTACTACTTTATAACTAGAAAGAAGCATCTTGATTCAAAAAATATCCCAGCAAAAATGTTCAGGATCACTCTTCTAATCATGTTATGGCCAAGAGGCAAGAGGTGTGCTCTATGTTTAGAACCAAGTAGAGTGGCCACCTGACACCAGGACAATGAAATAACTGTGGAGGACAGTGTTCCATGTCTTTACAAGTACAGCAAAGTAACAGACATTCTACAAAGTCAAAATCCAACCAAAATATCATGAAAGAACTGCAAGCATTTTGACCTAACTGCTATGAATGATAAAAACATTATACATAAATAAATAAATATCCCCATTACATAAACCCTTTATAAAGCCTCCCTTTGTTTTCCAGTGACCTTGTGACGGAAGCAAAAGGACTTCTTATTGGTTGAGACAACAGGTGATTTGTGGTTTCTACTTATCTGCTCTGCCCATACTAGGCTAGATACCCAGTGGTTTGCTAGGCTGGCCAGCCTTCCTTCCATGCTCCAATGTTAGCAACATCTGCCTTAAATATTCTCTCTGTTGAGTGTATCAAGGCAGACTGCAATTCAGTGATGCTGGAACTTTCATAGTCCACTGTTGATTATAATGATTTTTTTAATAACATGCTTATCGCTTAAATGCTCCAGGAGGAAGCCTGGATGCCCTGCTGAATACAGCCCTTAGGAAATACTGAATAATTTGGCAATGAAGATACCCCAGGCACATCTCAGGGCACAGATGCCAAGTACAGGGCACACAGCTCCTCAAGGGAAAGGCTGATTGTTTCTGTGTTTCGAAATGGGAAGACATCAGGTGCCTCGTCTTACTTAATGAAAACATAAAAGACTCCACTTAATTGCTCCAAGATTATGCAGGATGTTTTTTTTTTCCCCCTTCTTATAGGTTGAGCTTGTTAATTTCTACAGCTGTGATGTTGGCACAATTGCAGCCCTGAGCCCTGTTTTCACAACTTGTAAGCAAAATTAAAACTTTCCTTTTTAATTAAAATTCAAACCGAGCCAGAATTAAAATCCTATTGCAAAGCACAGGCCTGGGAAGGCCCCAGAAGGAACACCTGTTCCACAGACTTGATGGACAAATGATGAGAAGTGTATCTCCTTAGGGCACTATTGGGGAGAAGGGGATCCTATTGAGGGGGAACTGCCATCTGCCCTGGTGTTGAGCATTTTGACCTCCACTTCCAAAGTGAGGCAGTTCTAAGTTCTCAGTTCCTATCTTTACATTTTCTACCTTGAATATAGTCAGAATTCAACTATGTCCATATATGGCCTACTCTTTCCCCCAGCAATAATGTTTAACAACTCTGGGAATAATAGGAACAAAAACTTAATTTTTGCCCAGGAGGATTAAATAGGAAATGTTCCACAAAAAGCTCATCACTTTTTGTGGCAGCTCTATTAACTACTCTATTGAAAAAGATACTAACAAGCCGGGCACGGGTAGCTCACGCCTGTAATCCTAGCTACTCAGGAGGCTGAGATCTGAGGATCAAGGTTCAAAGCCAGCCCGGGCAGGAAAGTCTGAGAGACTCTTCTCTCCAATAAACCACTCCGAAAACTGGAAGTGGTGTAGTGGCTCAAGTGGCAGAGAGCTAGCCTTGAGCTGAAGAACTGAGGGACAGAGTTTAGGCCCAGAGTTCAAGCCCTATGACCAAGGAAAAGAAAAGAAAAAGATACTAACACCATTCATAGGTTCAAAGAACAATTCTCTGATCAATGCTGTGTGTGTGTTTACGTGCACACATGTATGGAAACAGTACCATTTTACTGTTCTTGCTATGCACCCTGACAACAGAACTTCTTGTTTCATCTTTTTCTCAGAGAAAGTGGAAAAACTGTAACCCTGAGTCCTGAGGAAAATATTCTAGGGACTCCCCATTCTATGCAGGCAGGAGGGATGAGAGTTGCAACTGTCTGTGCATGGGTACTCACCTGGGTATTGCCTAAAAAATCCCTTTGCACTTCCAAAGTACTGCCATATGAGTGATGGGTCACGATCGAAGTTATCTACAAAAACTTTGTTTAGGGATTCAGACCAATAAACCCCATTGACGATTGCAGGATCTGAAATAAAGAACAGAAGAAAAGCCATGAGGAAAATCACACATGTTCTAGCTGTAAAAATGGCTGACTGAGCATATAGCTTTGAAGAAAGGTGAAGGTCCTGGAGTGCTAAAGACCTGTGGATTCCAGGCCCTGAAGCTTCCTCTTCCTGTTCCAAGTTCTCTGAGCCATCTGACCCACCCAAGAGTCTCTATTAATAGCTCTTTACTTCAACCACCTACCCCCAAAATAGTGACTTCTGGTTATTAAAAGAGCAAAGAGACTTTCTAGTGTTATTTTCCTACTTTCCCCTGTACGAAGCCAGAACTCAGCCTTAAAAACAGGAAAAATGTGTTTTCTCTCGCTGTAATCTCTTCAGCCAACACAGCCCTGCTCCAATTCCCTATACCCCTGACTTAGACTTTTATTATAAAAAATGAGTAAGCAAATGCGAATTACTTCACAAAATCTCCCTGCTTCTTTTTAGCAGAATGGGACTCAATAAGGACAAAGACCTTTGGACCAGAATATGGTTAGATGAAGAGATGGATATGTGATATATGGATGGATGGATGGGTGGATATAATGAAATTGTCCAGAAACCAGATCTTAACTCATTCTTAAGCCCTATGATCTCAATAACAAACCACTTTTCTTCACCATTAGTAGTCCCAAAACTCTGTTTTTTGTTCATACTTTAAATATAAAGGTAAAGGAAAAGAAAGTGAAGTATTTCCCACATGCTGACTAAAATAAGGTAGATCACAGGATGCTCCCAGCCAGTCCACCTTCCACTGATTTTTTTTAAAATACATGTTTTTTTTACTGTGAAAATACTGTACAGAGGGGTTACAATTACATAGGCAAGATAATGAGTACATTTCTTATCAAGCATTGTAGCCTCCTCCTTTGTTTCCCCTTCCCATCCCTTCCCACCCCCCCCCCCCCCCCCCCCGCCCTCCCACCAGATCCTCCCTGCTCCCATCCCCGCCCCCCCCCCCCCACCAAAGTTGTAAAGTTCGTTTTCGACATAACGACTTGTACATCTCATTGTTGCAATGGGTCCACAGGACCAATGGAATAGAATTGAAAACCCAGAAATGAACCTACAGACCTATAGCCATCTAATATTCGATAAGGGAGCTAAAAAAAAATAGAATGGAAGAAAGGCAGCCTCTTCAGTAAATGGTGCTGGCAAAATTGGTTAACTACTTGTAGAAAACTAAAGCTAGATCCTTATATATCACCCTGCACCAGAATCAACTCCAAATGGATCAAAGACCTCAGAGTCAAAGCAGACACTCTGAAAACATTACAGGATGGAATAGGAGAAACCCTAGGTCTCCTTGGCGCAGGCCGAAATTTTCTGAATAGAGACCCGGAAACACAACAAATCAAAGAAAGTTTGGACAAACGGGATTGCATGAAGTTGCTGAGCTTCTGCATGGCAAAGGACAAGATCAATAGAAACCCTACGGATTGGGAGAAGATCTTTACTGATATTTTTAAAACCTCTGAAGACCCTGTTTCAAAATGATAACACATTTAGCAACCTGCTGTTCAAGAGGAGAGAGAAGCTGGGCGCTAGTGGCTCAAGCTTGTAATGCTAGCTACTCAAGGAGGCTGAGATCTGAGGATCACGGTTCAAAGCCAGCTGGGGCAGGAAAGTCCATGAGACTCTTATTTCCAATAAACCACTAGAAAACCGGAAGTGGCGATATGGCTCAAGCAGTAGAGCGCTTGCCTTGAGCTGAAGAGCGCAGGGACAGCACCCAAGCCCAGAGTTCAAGCCCCACAACCAACCAAAAAATAAAATAAAATTTTTTTTAAAAAAGAGGAGAGAGAATTGTCACATCTGGTACTAGGAGGGTGAGAATTACAACACGATAAGCATGCTAATCAACAGAAAAATGAGGAGGGGGTCATTCATTGGTTCCTTCCTACAAGAGACACTATGTTTACCTTTCTCTTGTTATCCACACTAGCCCCTCAGCTGTCTGTGACCCAACATTGATTGGATAGAGGTGGACCTGTAGCACAGGAGGTGACATGCTTTCCTATGAGTACCCAGAAACGAAGCAGCAAAGCCTCTGTCACGTGGTTTTCCTATGTGTAAAGTGGAGATAGTAATACCCCCCTAGAGGACTGTTAGGAAAATTAAGCAATTCACAAAGACAAAGGGGGCTCTGAGTCACAGCAATCCCACAGTGGCCTGCTTATTCCTGGTACCCTCCATACAATATAGGCAGGATGGATGAGAACAGATTTATTCACTTCTGTCCTGCAATGTCTGAGCAAACCAATGAGAAAATACTCATAAAAATAACAAACAGAAAGGCTTATAAAACTAATGACAAGAGAGACTTGGGATGTGTTGGCCCCTTTTCTACCCCTCTTTTCCCCTCCTCATCTGCCTGCCTTTCCACACCTGGCAGCCCTCGTGATGCTGTCTGATGAGCACAAATAGTATGTGACCCAGCTGGTGGGCCTGGGTCTTATCTGACTTGTCTTACCTCATTCCTGTCTTAGTCTTTCTGATAACTTAGGCAACTGGGATTCTGACTTTCATCTCAAGGGTAAACTCTAACTCCTGTTAACTGTAATCACCCATGTTACATCTTGGGAAAATGAAAATGGCCAATGCAACCTTGTACCACAGAATAATTTTGAGGAAGGCTTTATCCTCACAATTCTGGAAAATAAGAGCTTTCATCATCCCTATCCAAGCTTGATAATCACTGCTGTGACTCACTCCTGGTTTCGAATGCCACTTCAATTAGCCACAAAGATGCAAATATGATGACTCCCTAAAATCCATGGTGTTTGCTTCCACTGATGGCCTTAATTATGTCAGTATCATCTAAAACCTGACACAATTGGAAGCAAAAATCCAATTTCACTAATTCATTGTCTTACGTTAAAAGAGTCCAACAATTTTCAGAGACACACTCTTTGTGAGTGTGATAACTAGGATTGGTCTCATTGTATAGTTTTAGTTCCCTTTGGGGAAGAAAGAGCTGCCACTCCTCCAGGTGATCTTCTGACACCTAAAGAACTCTGACAACCTTTAGAAACACTCACTTGACTTGAACACTAAATCTTGCTTTGAAACTGTGCCCCTTCAAGAAAAGGGAGTTTCGCTTTTCCCAGAGCAAGGTGAATGAGGGACAGTAGAACCACTGAATAAAATGATCTACTTAAAGTGGGGGCAGTGTTACACACACTCATTTGATCAGATATCTGAAATACCATCACCCCTAGGCTCGTAAGATCATCATAGTGTATTGATTTCACAAACTCGCTTCACAACCAATTTCAATAGAAGGGAAAAATCTTGAATGGATGCCGATTGTTACTGTGATTGAAAAGTCAGAAATGAATAGAAATGAATGAAGTATTCAGGTAAAAAAAAACCTGCTAAAATTATTTTACCACTATAACTGACAGAGGGAAGAAGCCAAGTCACACAAAGGTCAGCCTATCTCCCCATTCACCAAGATACCAGCTCCTCTGCCAGGCAAATGTCACTAGACCAGTGCATCAGTCTGATTTCTAACTGGGTTAGTAAGATTAAGAGCCTAGGTTCACTTGTAAAAATGTCAGCAGCATCTTAAACAGCAAGCTTAGCCTTTTCTTGTTTATTTTTGTTTCCTAATTTGTTTAAAAGCTCCACTTTGCTTTAGTAGAGCATCTTCTACCTGGATGGCCAGAAATCCAGATTCAAGATATGGACAGGGCTGATGCCTTCTGGAAGATCAGCAGAAATCTGCCATGTGTCTTGCTCCTGGACCTCTCCCGCACTCCTCAGCCTGCAGACTCTGCCTCCACCTAGCCCTTCCTCCATGTGTCTGTGTCAAATCTTCCCTTTTGCTTTCACGAGAACACCAGTCGCCGTATTTCAGTTCCACTCTAAATTCCAATACTTACTTCCAAATAAAGTCATATTTGTAAGTAATAGAGGTTAGGGCTTGGACATATTTTTGGAGACTACTATTTAGCAGAGTATACTTTCTTTTCTGAGTTATTCTACACAATACACTCATTTCATACTTTTTATATATTATTTTTAAATCTGAATTTAGTAAGTGCAGAGATTTTCCTTTTCTTTCTATTTTTTTTTTAAGTTGGAGATGGGAACTTAAACTCAGTATCTGAATCTCTTGCTCTTTGGGTGGTGCTCTACCAACTGAAACACACCCCCAACTCCACAACTTTTCTCTAATGAATCAGGTTTATATGTCCTTAACCCTTTTCTTCTTTATGGGAACAATTCAGATGCTCATTACTGCCTGTATTTTCAGGATCCTTATCAACAGGTTCTACTAAAATCCTTTTTCTTTAATACGTAGTGTATACATTGAGACTGGCATTATTTGCTCAGTAAAGTGAGTTCCAGGATGGCCTGGTCATTTTTCCCACTGTTCCTGTCCAACCTACATGAGCGGAATGTGCATATTAGCCAATGTGAAGTTCAATATTAGCATCAGTTCTGCTTCTTTCTCCTTTGAGACACACATGCATCCTGGGTAGCAGTCAAGAATTTAGATATTCAGCTTTTATCACTAGCATATTCTGAGAGAATGAGCATCCATATCACATCTGTAGTAAATTCAGTTTGTATCTGTAAAACATCTTACTCATCCTTACTCATCATATATCCCAATACCAAACAGCTTTCGTACCTCCATTCATATATTCATATGTAAATAACCATCTCCTCAGCTTTTCCCCAATACTGCATCTGTTACACGAGTTCCCTGTATCATGGATAGCTAATATTCTCTGCTCAGCAATGCTATACATTCCTGCACATTTTCTCATTTTTGTTCTGCATATTTGAATGAGTCATGAGTTCCACACTCCTGGCATGGTCAGCCTTCTTGAGCCCAAGCAAATGAATTTGCATAAAGCACTTAGCTTAGCAATTGGCATATATAAAATGTATCATCACTAATGGCTGTCCTTTACTTTGTTAGAAAGTACATAAATAAGATCCCAAGAAGAGATGTCAACATTAACCC